CTTTTGAGATTTAGAAGAGAAATTTTGAAGGGATTTGACCCTATGGCATTAGATGCCCCTAAGAACATTAAACCCTTATGAGAAAGATCTCGTAGAGAAAAATGTTAAGATGGAATATGAAAAAGATTTTGAAAAATATATTTAAGGGTCTGCTAAAAAAGAGTAAATGCTATTACAAGTAGGGAGAACACTAGTAGAAAGCATTTGGCTTGAAATTAAAGAGGCAATACAAGATGAAACAATTTAAATAAAGGTAGTCTATGAAAAGGCAAGCTAAAAGAAAGAAGATCAAGAAGGAAAAATCCAAAAGAAAGTTCAAGCAAAGCCAAAGATAACTGCAAGAATGTATACGCAATGTTTCAACACAGCACCATATTCTTCAAAACCTATTCAAAAAGAGTTGCTTCAAGAATAAAAAATAGCTACATTTTTGGAAGATTGCAACCCTGAACTTCAATAATTTTTGCCCAAAAGCAAAAAAGTCCAAGAAATTTTGCTATTCCTTACAAAGTTAGACATTTAAATTTTGATGATGCTCCTTTTGATCTTGGCTTTAGCATAAACCTAATACCTTTAAATATTTTTGTAAAACTAGGGTGTAAAGCGTTGAAGATTGCAACATTCAATTTGAAATTTGCTAACTAATCTATGAAGCTACCACAAGGGATGTTGAAAAATGTGCTTGTAAAAGTTAATAAGTATGCATTCCCAGTAGATTTTGCTATTTTAGACATGAAAAATGATGACATTTTACTATTTTTAGGAAGATATTTCCTAGGGATTGCCAAGGTTTTAATAGATGTGTTTAACTCTAGCCTTACCTTTAGTTTTAAAAATAAAAAATTATAGTTTGTGATCAGAAGATATGCTGTCTTAGAGATACCTATGACAAATTCAAGCTTTGTTTATATTATTTCTACTATGAGAGCTAGTATACCTCCTAAGATCAATTCTGTTTATGCCATTCCCCAAAAAGGATGCAATAAGGCAAACTCTTTCCTAAAGGGTTAAGATAAGCCATTGATTTATGAATGATCAAGCTTAACCAAAACTAATGTTGCTTGAAAGGCAACCTATTTTTTATTTTCATGGTTTATTATTTTTTTTAGGAAAATTATGTTTTGATGTTTTTGTGTTTTGAGTTTGTGTTTGTAGGACGGAATGAAGGCAAGGAAAATACCTTATACCAATGAAATTTTGACTTTGAGAAAAAAATTTTGAAAAGTATTTCCTTTTTCCTTTACTTTTTGTTTGATATATTGTTTAATTTAAGTATGGGGAAAGAGGGAAATGCTTTTTGAACTTAAAATGCTTTGTGAACTTAAAATGATTTTTAAAATTTTTATCCTATTTTTACTTCCAAACCAATTGACATGCTAGATCTCTTTATTATACACACTTAGTTGATTTTGCATAAATCTTCAAGATTGACTTAAATATGATATGAAGTGTGATTATAAAATATGGTGAAACTTTAAAGGAATTTTTAAGCATGCTTTTCTTTGGATATGACTTTTATACATATGCTTTTATTCTCTTTTAAGGAAATGCTTTGATTTTTGTGAACGTTTTGTGAAATGTGGATTTATATGAAATTTGAGAATTTGAATAAGTACTCTAAAATTCACCTATTCAATTTTTGATTGAAATCCTAGACTGTATTTAACTCAAAAGATAATTTAGATAATTTTTTGAACCGTTTAAGCCTTTTTCTAGCACTTTGTTATGATGCATCTCTAGTATCTTTATTTAGAGCCTAATATATTATTCCCTTTTTTTTGTTTATTTTAGCCACATAATAAGCCAATAACCTTTTTCTTTGATTATTATTATCCTTTCTTTTATTTTTATCTAACCCAATTGTGCTTACTTATGTATAATGGACATAATTATGTATTAGAAAAGAGGAAGCACAAGGAATAAAAAGATGCCTCAAAGTTCAAAGTTTCAAAAGTTTAGTTTTTCAAGTTCCAAGAAATTTCAAAGAAAGTAAACTAAAGTTTTAAGCTTAAAATTTCATTTTTCCTACCTTGACCCAAATCTTACATTACAAGCCGAAAAGATTTTTTGATCTTGAGTCAAATATGTGAGTCTAACATTAGTGGAGAATGAAGAAAAAAATGAACATATGAAGTCTATTTTATCTTTGAATTGAAATGTGATGAAATATTTTACATTCTCTTTATTTGAGTTATATGTATGAATTAAATATTGAGTAAATGCACATGTTTAAAGAGCATAAGATATTGAAAGCTTATTTTTAAAGGAATTTCTTGTAACTCTGTGTTTATGTTCAATTTTGTATTATACGAAGTGGATGATAGTAATATTATATAATTTTTGACTTTGTGAGTATGTATGATAATTTATAGTTTTGTTGATTCGAAAATTTTACTTAAAGACAAGCAATTATTTAATTATGGGGGTATATGATAATACATGAAAATATAGTAATTTTATATATTAAAATGGGTGCAAAATTTTAAATTTTGGTTGATTTTTGGTGCTTTAATGCTTATTTTGTGATTTTTAGGGTTTCAAGTTTGTGGACTTCATTTTTATGCAAACCATGCATGTATGCATGCAAAAGCATATTGGCCACTATTTTAGAAGCTTATAGCTAAACCCTATTAGCCTAATTCTATCAATCCATTCGGCTAAAAAATAGTTTTTCATGCACAAAGACACCTCCAATTCTCTCATGGTGTTTGTCCAAAGCAAAAATGCAAAGAGATTGCTTGTTCGTTTGAAACGTTTGGCTTACATGAGGACTCCTACACCATTAAGTCATATCCATATTTCTAGAAGGTTCCAAGCATTTTCAAGCTCGTGTGGACTCTAACACATTCAGCCAACGAAAGTTTTATCCAAGAATGACACTTTTGCTTAGCCATGAAGAGCTTTAAATGCACAAGCACTTTTATTTCCTATATCTATTCAGCTAAGAAACAATCCAATAAGACTTTATGCAGCTACAAACCAATAAGAACACTAAGTGTATTCGACTAAGGATGTTTGTAATGGATAAGAACTTTTTTGCTTGCTCTTCGAAGAATCAAGATAAAAGAAGGTTTATTACTATTTGAATTAAAAGTTTCTGGATGAAATTAAAATACATGATCTTGTAATCCAAGAGCTAGCAAAACCTACCTAAAAGATTGAATGAACAAGGAAGCAAAGATGATCAAATGGCTAAGAAGAAATCCCTAAACTCCCATTTAGCCAAAACTTATCCAAAATAAAAACCCTATTTGATTGAAGTACTAAGAAGATAAATATTAGCGTGATTTTTAGCAATTAGATAAAAATTAAACTCTTATAATTTTACCCCCATGGTTGAACCTTCTACTATAAATAAGGAGGCCATTAACCTCTTTTCATCATCCCTTATCCCTCACTTCTCTTTTTTTCTCTTTTTTCTTAATTATTTTCTTTTCTGTAAATTCAAAAAGTATTTCTTTTCAAGTCTAGGTTTTTTCAAGTATTCTTACTCATTATTTTTGGCAATCATCTTTGTTTTTCTACTTTAATTTGTTTCATGCAACATTTATTCTTTAAATTTTCTTTTATGCAATAAAGTTTCGGCTACTATTTCTTTTATGCTTTACAAGTTTAAGTTTTATGCAATCATTCTTTTCTATTCTAAGCATTCGACAATCTCAATCTTTCTTTGTTTTTAAGTTTGCAATTGTTATTTCTTTTAGATCTATTTTTTTGTTATATTTTTTTACTTTTTAAATGACAATTGGTGAAAGTCAATATCTAAGCCTATATTGCTTTTCAATATATCTTTTCTTATTTTGCCACCAACCCTAAATTTTGATTGTTTAGATATAAGATTTTAGGATTTCACTTTGGGTAATTGAGAGCTATCCAACATTACAATTTATAATCATTTGAGAGATGAAATTGGAATAATTTTATTTTATTACTTGATTTGTGTACTTGTAAGCTATACAAAAAAACAGCAATCACTTTGATAAAATGCACGAAAGGCAAGAAAAAAATAAATGATAAAATGTACCTAAAACTCGCCAATGAGCTCCATCAACTTCAAGGTTTGTAACCACTTTGATATCGTTATTAGACAAAGCATAAATCCCTAAAACCAAATAAAAAAAATTATCCAAAAAATGGGTATTTTAAAATGGACAGAAAATGAAGTGAGAAAGAGGAAAAATATTGAGAATTTTGAGTGGTGAAGATGTTTTTGGAGAAAAACGCATTGGAAGAAGCAATGGCTTTGAAGAAAACTTAAGTGAAGATGAAGTGCGGAAGATGGAAGTAGCAAAGAAGACATTGAAGGTTGCAGTTCCTGATGTGGCCACTTGGGAAAACCAAGGGAAAAAAAATAGAGGTGTCTGAAAATGCTAGAGACAAGAATCTAGTTGGAACAGATGCCTTTGCTTGCTTTGCTTGGATAGAGGGAAAGAAAGTCTAAAAGGATTGGGCTTTTAGCTTATGTTTGGACTACAAAGCAGTTGCTGCCCAAATTTGTTTACTTGGGCCTTTGCCTTTTAAGTTGTTAAACAGAGAATAAAACATGTTTTGATAATTTATTTGAAAATTAGTAATTTAAAATAAAATAATCCAAATTAATTTGACGAAAATGTTTGAATATAGGATCTTTTACTATTTTAATGAAGAAGTTAAATTTTGGAATTTGTTAGGAGGAAGAAAATTTTCTCCATAGAAGAGGATTGAGCTCCAAAATTTTTGTATATGATACATTATACGACTATAAAAAGCTTTTCGATCATTCAAAAAAAAAAAAAAAAGGATATCAAAATAAAAGAAGTTATTAATCAATTAGCATAAGAGACTATGAAAATTAGTTAAATCAATAACAATCAAGTACTTACAAAATTTTTATTCAATTCTCTTTACAATCGACTTTTTATTTTTTATAATCGATCTATAAATTTAATACATATTCTCCTTCAGACTTACGACACATATTATGATCATAATTTTCCTCTATGCTAATAGGGGAAGACATATCAATCAAATTCGATTACACACTTTTCAGAACCTCTTGGAAACTCTTCAATCATATCTGCATTTAGCTCTTCCTCTGAAGAATCCTCATCAAACATGAAAGACATCTTCTCCAAGACTTTGCCATTTTCTAGTAGATATTTAACCACTTCCGCTTCATCTTCCAATGCCCATAGATATCTCATCTTAATTTCCTTAAGATGTTGCAATAAACAGTAAGGCTGAGGCATGGGTGGAATCCAACCGAAATTATCCTCAACATCAAGTTCTCCGCCTGCTTCATCAAATGCTTCCATCAATAACTCCATACGTTCCTGATAAATAAGCAAAATTATAAGTAGAGAAATTAACCATAAACCCTTTTGCTAAATATTTCCATTAGATAAAGAGCACTCACCCTCTCCAACACAAGGAATTCAAGAATAGGCGAGTTCCTTAAGAAATGAGGCAATGATTTCCAACCAAAGAAATGATCAATCCCCATTTCAAGACGCAGCATAAATAGAAATGTGGGCAAATCATCATCAACAGCATAGCTGAGAGCCTTCAATCAACATAGGAACAAGAGTCAAATAAATTAATCAGTAGCACTGAAAAACGTAGCAAACAGCAAAAGAACGACCATTAAAATGGAATGGCACGTGCATGGCATAACATGATTAAGAAATTAATATTGTTCATCAGGGCGGTAAATAATTAACTTACAGCAGTAGTACTAGCCGAAAGATTTAGAAATTTGGCATTTCTAATTCCTTTGAGAATTCCCATCAGCAGTCGATGGGCTTCTTGCTGGGATACTTGATCCTTGTAGAAGAAAGTAGAATGGCCAATACTAACCTTGGCTTCAAGTAGGGAGGGTATTTCATCTATCACAAAATAAGCCATGGAGTCATCTTGAATGGTAAGATATACAAGGTTTGGTGTCTGAATAATGAACTTTTGATCCGAGAAATTCTCAAATCGTCTGCAAATGTCAATCTTCAACCTTTTCAGAGTTGGTATAGAAATTGTGAATGTATGCTCAACCTGATCATCACCATCCTGCCCAAGATCATTTACATAGATAAACAAATCTTCAAGCACCGGACATCTACAAAATAACGTACTCAAAAACTCGCAATCCGGATGCTTAGCATCAACACGAAGGACTTTCAAACTGGGGAAACATGTGATTGTTGAAGGAATAGTGAAAACGAAGTCGGTTCTAAGTTTTAGTGCCACCAGTGATTCGCAACTTGAAAAGTTTTCAGGCAACCTAACAGGGATTCTTTCCTCATATTCCAACAACAGGAAGAGATCAAGCTCCTTCACATTGCAACACAGTGCATAGTTAATCCATGCATTGACGCGAAGTAAATCGTTTTGTCGTCGGAAATCATAAAATCCCAGAGTGAATGTCTGAATATTTCTGGATCCACGAAGGCCAAGAACTCGGTCCACAAAGTCCATAAAAACCTGATTTCTACCCTCCATTTCACGGATGTGAAAATCATTGAAGTTAAGACTGTGGATATAAGTCCAAAGGTACCTCCATCTTCTGGACAATACGGCCGTTTGAACCGCTTCTTTTGTGTTAAGATAAGAGAGGATATGAGCCACAACGTCATTAGGCAATTTGCTGATAAAATCTTCTTTGCCGACTTTCCTGGTATCCATTTGCCAAGTTAGACTTCGGACGCTTGTAACTTACCCTGTTCCTGCAACTGCAACACCCCAAAAAATACATAGGGTTTAGGAATATGGTAAAGGCAAAACCCAAGCAAAACAAGTTGTTTGGCTGTCAAGAAAAACATGCACAAAACAAATTTCCATAGGATACGACCTTTTATATGACTCTTAAAAAACAACGAGAAAAAAAAAAAGAAAAAACCTTGGGAAATGGTGTTTGCTGTTCTCTTCACTTCAAGGTTCCCAAACATAGAAGATAAAAATCACGTAAAAGTTGTTCAGAAGAAAATGGGAACGCGTGATAGAGGAAGAGCATAAAGACTTTGAAAGAAAATGAAAAAAATAAACGAAGTTTGTTCAATTTGTAGCAGTGACAGATATTGAGAAAAAAGAAAGAATGATTACATAAAGTTTCTAAATCCTCCAAGTAGGATCTGAAAACAGAAACAGAAACAGAAACAGTGAAATTGACTCTAAGTTATGCTTGAATGTATAGAAAAAAGGTTTTTTTTTATATATATTTGTTGAAATGATACGTCTTTTCATGAAATAATATTTGATAAATAAGTGTGATTTTTCGTTAATAAATAACTATAACTTTTTCCATTTGATAAACAATTGTAACTTTTCATGAACAAACATAATTTTTTATCATTTTTATTTACAATGAAAATTATTTGTCACACCAAAAAAAATATATATATATATATATGCATATATTTTGTAAAAAACCACCCAAAAATACGTAAGTGTACCAAAAATATTTTTCAGGTTTTTATTAAAATTAAGTGAAAAGATATGTATTGAATCGAACCAAATACGAAATACCAATCAAAATCAAAACTGAGCCAATTATGTTGAAAGCCAGTTCCCAAGCCAAGACCAACGTTGTTATTGGAGTAGGCTTTTTGATGTTTTCATTTTTTTTCACAAATCCGATCAAACTAAACAGACACTTTGAGCCCAAACACGAGACAACCAAATCCTAGGAAAAAAACCAAACACGAGACAACCCAAAATCTAAAATAATCTGAATCCAAAGAGATAGATATCTGAAATTGACCTGAGTGGTGATAGTTAACGTAGGAGAGGATTTAATATGCAAGATCACACATCCTGTATGTATAGAAGGAAACTTTGATCAAGATTATGAACATTCAGTACATATATTTATATGATAGCATTCAGGAATGGAAGCAAATAATCGACTACTCCATTTTCATATTAGCCTTGCACTCTTATCTACAATCAGCATCCTCTCTATTCATCATCTATAGTGGGATAGGAAGGAAGGTTGAATAATCACATCTTTATCTTCTATATGTTGTGTTGAATTTAAAAGAAGAAAACAAACAAAAAATGAAAAAAAATGCATATTTTACAAACAATCAAAATCCTTCCACACTAGCCCTTCTAAGGGTTGCGGATGATGATCTCCGGCTTTCTTGTCTTTCAAGTTCCTCCAACGAGATGGTAGAGGAACAAGCTCGAGGCGGAAGAGTCAACGGCAAAGTAGGTGGTCTTGTAGGAGAAACAGACTGCCGGTCTCCCGATGGTGGTGATGGTGAGAAACTTAACCTGGGTGCAGGACTAATGATCCTATTGAGACTAGGTGACCTTGACATTTGTTTTCCAGCAATTGCCGCTGGCTCTTGCAGAGGAAACCTACAGGAATATTTCATGTCTTGGGTGATTTTGAGATGCTCAACTATGGTTCTCATGGTCGGCCTTTCTGATGGGTCCTTCTGGAGACATCTTTGTGCAATGCCAGCCACTGTACGAGCAGCTTTCTTAGGAAAGCGACCTTTGAGCTGAGAATCCATGATAAGTGACAATCTACAATCATCAGCTAGGAATGGTCGGCTTCACTTCACTAGGTTCCTCTCTTCCCTGGGATGAGAGCTACCAAGGTTCTTCCGGCCAGTGAGGAATTCAAGTAGGACAATTCCAAAACTCCAAACATTGCTCTTTGGAGTTAGCCATCCTCTCTCGAGGGTCTCTACTGAAGGATTTGCCACAGTGTCATGAGCCACCCTTGTATAGGGCCATGACCGGGACTTAGGTTGCCATGAGCCACCCATGTATAGGGCCATGGCCGGATAGATCCCTTGTGCTAGGAAAAGTGTCCCCATTTCAAACATTGTAACGGTTACTGGTAGCATAGCTCTAAAAGTTCTAAGGCTCTTTAGGAGGGTGAGCCGGCAGCGTAGTATTGGGCTGTCTCACCGGGTGCTATGCGAGCTTAGGCCACCCACCAAGGGCTGCCCCCCTGGCCCTGGTGATGGTGGGAGGTCCCGATGTATGATTCCCGTTTATAATATAATTCACCCCGATTGAATGCCCGATTGTTGCCTCGATGTGTTTCTTTCTTTCTCGATGTGAATGTGCCTTGTTGTGTGTATGCTTGAGATTGACCTCGATATATTGTGCCTTATTGTGAATGCTTGAGACTAACCATGATTTATGGTTATTTGTTCAGATCTCGATCTATTGAAGGCTGACTTGGGTGGAAGCGTCCATTCAAGTGCCACACGGGCTAGTGCTTGTTGAGAGAAAGCTTAGTCCGTGACATGTGGTATCAGAGTACAGTTGAGAAGTGCTAGAGAAATGGATGAGATGGCCACAAGTGGTGGACCGGATCATCAGCAGAGAATTGAGAAACTAGAAGCCGCGGTGGCCGCAATGAAAACTCATATGGTGACAAAAGACCGAGTGAGGGAGATCGAGACAACCCAGCGGGAGTTGTCCGATACTCTCCACAATGTGAGCGAAGAGGCTAGAGATGCCTTAAACATTCTCCAAAAGGAGTTTGAGGAGCTCAGAGCCCAGGTGAGCATCCTACAAATGGCTGTGGCCAGATCGGGTTCGAGCTCGATGGACAGGGGACAAAGGCCCAAGGTGCCAGAGCCTCGATGCTATGAGGGGGCAAGGGATGCTAAGGAACTTGAGAATTTCTTGTTTGACATGGAACAATACTTTCGAGCTGTACACACAAGTTCAGAAGAAGATAAGGTGACAATGGCATCGATGTACCTCACAGGGGATGCCAAGTTGTGGTGGCGCTCCAAGTTTGTCGATGACGAGTGCCTAATTAAGACTTGGACGGATCTGAAGCGAGAACTGAAAAACCAATTTTTTTCGAAGAATGTGGAGTATATGGCTCGAAAGAGACTTCGTGAGTTGGTGCAAACCGGAACGGTGCGAGAGTTAGTAAGAAACTTTTCTACCCTGATGCTAGATATTCGGGACATGTCCAAAAAGGACAAGATGTTCTATTTTCTTGAGGGCCTCAAGCCATGGGTGAGGACAGAGCTACAAAGGTAGAAAGTGCAAGATGTGGCCACGGCCATGGCTGCAGCAGAACGCCTTCATGATTACAATGATGGCTCCTTAAAACGAAAAAATCCTCCGTCAACTGGCAGTAGCTTTAACCTTGGAAGTGGGGGAAAGATCACTAGGTTGGACTGACCCTTCAGTGGGGGATCAGACAGGAGGTCCTTTGGGCGAGATAGCACCCAGCCCATGACAAACAGCGCAGGGATTTTCAGGCCCAGACAACCGCTAGCTTGCTTTCTTTGCAAGGGATCGCATCGAGTGGCTGAATACCTGTACCGAAGAGCCCTGAATGCCTTAAGGACCTCATCCCAAGAGTCCGTAAAAGCGCCAGAGAGCGTTGAAGAAGCTGAAGAGGAGCCAGCCAAGATGGGCTCAATAAGGTTCCTCAGTGCCCTCCGCACCCAATTGAACACTATAAAGAAAGAGCAAAATAGAGGCTTGATGTACGTGAACTTGATGATCAATGGGAAAACCACCAAGGCCATGGTGGATACGGGTGCAACCGACACTTTCATCACACCATAAGAAGCAAAAATGTGTGGTCTTCAGATTAGTAAAGACTGTGGCCGAATGAAGGCGGTCAATTCACCAGCCTTTGCGATCAGTGGAAGCTCGAAAAGTGTGACAACCCGATTGGGGCCATGGGAAGGGAAGGTAGACTTCACAGTCTCCCCTATGGATGACTTTGATGTCATTCTTGGATTGGACTTCATGACGTTGGCTCAGGCGATCCCTATCCCCGCGGCTAGCTGCTTGTTGTTCTTAGGAAAACACCCATGTGTGGTGCCAACCAATATCTTGCCAAAGAGTGGAAAGAAAATGATTTCGGCTTTGCAATTCAAGAAAGGGGTAAAGAGAGGGGAACCCTCATTTGTGGCCATACCGATCTACAAAGAAGGGTCGAAAGTAGAACCAATACCCGATGGCGTAAAAAAAATGTTGGAAGAATTCGGAGAGGTGATGCCAGAAATGTTGCCTAAGGTTCTACCCCTTCGACGAGTAGTGGACCACGAAATTGAGCTCCTCCCAAGAGCAAAACCCCCTGCTAGAGCTCCCTATCGCATGGCCCCGCCAGAGTTGGCTGAGCTGAGAAAACAGTTAGATGAGCTTCTACAAGCCGGGTTCATCCGACCATCAAAGGCTCCTTTCGGAGTGCCAGTGCTATTCCAAAAGAAGCATGATGGGAGTTTGCGTTTATGTGTTGACTACAGGGCCCTGAACATAGTCACCGTAAGAAATAAATATCCTATCCCGCTTATAGCCGACTTATTTGATCAATTGAGCCGGGCCAAGTACTTCTCCAAACTGGACCTGAGATCTGGATACCATCAGGTCAGAATCGTTGAGGGAGATGAGCCAAAGACCACTTGTGTAACACGGTATGACGCATTTGAATTTCTTGTTATGCCTTTTGGACTAACCAATGCTCCTGCCACATTTTGTACATTGATGAATCAGGTGTTCCATGACTACCTTGACAAATTTGTAGTCATTTATTTAGACGATATAGTGGTGTACAGCTCCACCTTGGAAGAACATCAAGAACACCTACGCCGAGTTTTTAAAAGGCTGCAGGACCACCAGTTATATGTAAAAAAGGAGAAATGCGCGTTTGCTCAAACCCAAATCCACTTTCTCGGTCATATTGTCGA